GTATACAAATTAATTAAAAGGCTGTGCAAAACGAACCGGATCGTCTAATTACCAAGCACGGGTGAGTAGCCTCGTTTGGTGCAACTACGAAAGTTGGTGGGGGAGGGTGATGAGGAAGGAAAGAAGGGGGCGAGAGGGCGCACGGTGATGGCGTTGGCTTCCGCGGAACGCTTCGAAGTCTCGGGTAACGGTAAGAAGGAGGTTGCGGAGAAGAGAATTTCAGGCCACATCGAGACAACCGGGGCTAAACAGCCATCTAAATGCATCCGAGGTGGCGCTCGCTGCCATTACGGCTGATGGACGCTTATTGACGCGCGCCCTGCCAGCAACCGAGTTGGAGCCTCCAGGCAAGCCCTCTTGGATCCCTCGATGTAGAATATCTTCTTCCCTCTCTCTCTTCTATCTTTCTTTCTTTCTTTCTTTCTTTCTTTCACTCCTCGCGCTGCTCTTTTTCTCTTTGTCTTTCTTCGTTGGCCACTGCTCTACCTTCCTTGCTGTACCCGGGTACAAGCACCCTGTTTTACACCCCCTGGCCCGGAGCGCGAAAACACGTCACGGAGAGGAGCATCTTCGTCCCTCCCGGGTAATGTCGCAGAAACGTCGCGTGGCTTTAAAACGTATCCAGTGTTGCACTCTGCAAGCTCGTCACGAATCCGCCTCGCTATCGACGAGCCGTTCCCAACGACGAATTCTGACGCGCGCAGCGCACCAATATCGCGGCGACGAACGTTATTCCGCGCGGACGTTGCTTCTTCGCGGCGCTAGTTTGTTGAGAACGGAGAACGACGTTCTCTGTTAAAGTGCAGTTCAGAACGTGTGTCGATATGCCCGAAAATTAAGCGAATTAACTCGTCACTGAGATCTCAAAGAATTTGAACAATAATTTCTTCTAATTTCGTAAATTTTTTTTTTTTTGTTTTGTAGACACGGTCTAATTTTCACTGAGAATAACTTATATCGTAATTAATTAGGCGACCAGTATCTCGCAGTGAACATAGCTTTTTGTAACCGAGCTTTCAGAGTAAGCGGAAAATGTACAGAAACTCTCGAAACTCGAAGATTTGTGCTTTTCGAGTCTCTAGATTTCGACGTGTCGAGTCTATTTGTTTTTATTATTACGTATAGTATAGACAAGTTCGTGTAGATTTACGCAGCGGAAATATCGACACGCAATCAGTAATCGCTTTTCACAGTGCTATCAGTTTGGATCGTACGTGGAAGGTACGAAGAAATGAGATGAGGCCGCGACTTTTGCTCGCGAATCTTCGCGCTACTTTTCGTCGCCGCGACCGGATTATCGCGTTATTTATGCGGTAATAATAACGAGTTAGTATAGCGCGCGGGATGTGCTTTATGTCTTCGGCAACCATTAGGGTTAATATAGCGCCGGGCTCATTCTCTGTGGTCCCTCTTGGTTAACGTAGCTGCGGTCGTAGGTTTGTTCCCTCCTTTCGTTACTGTATACGAATGCGAATTCTAGAATAAGGATCGCGAGAGAGATGAATGGTTGTTTCGTCACTCGCATCGATATTCTTTCATTACAATTGAATTCAGTAGAATCATTTTCACTTGATCGTCTACAGACGGGCGGGAAAGTTTTCAAATTCGATTTCCTTGGAAGCCAAGTCTCGAACAAGAAAATATCACTCTTCCGTTTTGGTTTACTTTTGTGCATATAGAGTTTCCAGTCCCAGGATTTTGTGTACATAGAATTTCCGGTAGTATCGCAGAAATTGAGATACGAAAAACTGTTTCGAAACAGTTCTCAGAATTTTTATATCTTAATGCAAAAAGGACATAAAAACGAAATTTCAGGGAAACATTGAATAATAAATCATACATATGAACAAGATTCCTTTTCTACTTTCAAACGGGAGAGAAATGTATGTAAAGGAGTACGTAAAAGTGGCAGAATCGGGAATGTAAACTTGTTAAACTGATACAAATTTCGTCAGAGTGGGGAACAAGCGAGCGTGATAAGGTGTCGAAGACGTCGTTGAAGAGATTTGAACCGTGAACGAGTGGAACAGGACGAGAACAGGCGAAAACGGTGAAGGGCCATAGATCGAGGAGGCAAGATGCACCGCCCTGGGCGTAAAGAAACTCGGCGAGGAACCTGCTGAGTCCGCCGAGAGAAAGATCGGCTCGGTTGGTCATCGGGGAAGACACGGAGAACCGGCGGCGTCGGTTGATTGGCTCGCATCGATCCGCTGTGCTGGGAGCAATAGATCAACGGAGACACTGACGCCATACTGGTCTCTGGTTCTCCCCTTTCTCTACCCGGTTCTCTTCTTCTTCTTCTCCTTCTTCTTCTTCCTCTTCTTCTTCCTCTATCTTTTCTCTCTGTCTGGATCGGTCGCCAGGGCAAAAACAGACAGAGGAACTGGGACGTCCGAGACACACGAGAGCTCCGAATCTCACGACGGAGGAGGTGCGTGAAAGCAGCATGAAGGACGGAAGGAGGAGGCGATGGTCGTGGAAAATGAGGCAAGGGTTAAATGAAAGCAATACATATAAATGCATTTAGAAGTTTGAAGCATCCTTTGCTTCTTTTTTTTTTTTGGATGAAATAAACTTTTAAAAATTCATACAAATTCGCATTACAAATAAAAGTAGGTATCGTAATTAGAAATTTCAATTTTCTATATATTATCAATAGTTTCGATACATGGACCTTTGCAAAGTAGCAACGTTGTAGGATTTAAAAATTGCGCGTTTAAAATGGTAATAAAATATTTGGTTATTTAAACCGTTTATAATAAAAGGTTTCAAAAGAACTCTTTTGAAACTCGAAAACTTTTAGTGGAATTGTAAATGTAATTTATAATAATGGTCTTAGCTTGTCGAAAAGGTCGAAGAAAGATCGATTTATTTATAAGTAACTCGCAAGTTCAAGTAACCAAAAGTATTCGTACACATATCGTACAAAATTTTTATGTTATACAAAACATTTCGACATTTCATTAACAACGTAATGAAACACGAATGTCACGATTGTATTGATAAAATTTGAAACCAGTCTGAAAATCCGTATATAGGAGTTGTAGAATATATATTTAGTAAAAGATTAATGTAAAACATGTAACACGTGTTCATGGAATATCGAGGCTTACTGATATAATGTACGTGTTGTAACTCCTGTATACATTTTCAGAATCGTTCGAAAATTTCACCATATGATCGTGACAATGTTGATAGAGTTTCCAAACGTTTCAAATGTGTTCATGGAAGATGTCGGCAAGTGCATGTATATTTTCCCGAACTGCTATAGGCTTAACTTATAAATGTAAATAGACAGATTGACTTTTCTCCGACTTTTTGGAAAAAGTTAAGACGTATCATTGTCAAGCAAATTGAACCTACGCTTCGAGTTTCAACACATCGGTGAGATTAAATTTCTATCGAATTCTCCATTCTTTAATTTCACTCTCAGAAACGTAAATTTTCTACGACTTTTCAGAAAAGTTATCACGTACTGTTGAACCTACGCTTGTGATTTTCGAGCGTGTTAGAAAGATCAATAAGATCAAATTTTCCATAATTTAATGCATGAAGAACAATTCTTCACTTCTTAGTTCCGCTGTCGAACACGCGAATTAGCACGAAAGAAAGAAAAAAAGAGAAATGCGCCAATCTGCACGTATATGTCGATGTTGCAACGTGTCAGAGTGGAGCACGCAGAGAGTACAAAGGTACGAAGGCAGAAAGGAGAGGAAAAAGGGAGTAGAGGAAGAGTAGGGAGGAGCCGCGAGGCGAAAGAAAGCAAATGGCCGGGGAGAAACGGAGATCAGCGACGAAGGGGAAACATGGGCCGCGGAGAGAAGGCAGAGCTCTCGTTCTCCCTCTCTTTCTCTCTCTCTCTCTCTCTCTCTCTTTCTCGGCCTCTCGCGGCCTTCGCGGCGAGCTGTTGTTCGATTCGGGCCGCACGGTTGCCGAGAATACGAACGGCCGAATTATGAAAATGGTCCTGTGTGACGCGGCAGCCACCCTTGCTCGCTCGAGATAGCTTCCAGCAATAAACATACCACCCTCGCCAACCCCCGTGACTCGCCTTCGATCCTCCGACGACTCGAGTCGCTTACGAACTACACAGGAGCAGAGGATGGGTGGAGGAGACGCGAGAGTTTCGCCGATTGCCAGCGATACGAAACGCCAGCGATGGAAACTCCGCTACGCGAGGAGAACCCGTGTGTGTCTCGCACAGTGGCTCGAAATCAAGATTCCGTAGCTCGGAATCGATGAACGCGACTTTTTTTTTACAAATGTCCTCGTTAGAGAAAAGCATCGTTGGAAATGTCTAGATATTTGTGAAAAACTTTGTGACAACCGTAGCAGGGCGGAAAGTGAAATATATATGAAGAATATGTAGATTTACAGAGTTACACGGTGGAAGTTTGTCGCGTAGTTACTATTATAATTGCGTAGTATGTTCGTTTAGATGAACGTCAGATATCCTCATTTTCATATGAGAGATTCGTTTATAACTTCTCACCACTTCATTTCGAAGCTGGGCTCCCTTTGTCGAAACATTCCAATATTTTTAAATGCCTTGATTCGTTTAATGATTGAATTGCTTATCGTTAGCAATCGCGGACAAAATTTTCCAAATATCGATGCAATTGATATGTAAATGAAAACGATTTGTAATCGAGTCAATCATATTATTAGTGTAAGAAATTTACAATCGAATCAATTATATTTATATTACACATATATATATATATATA